ACGCTATAAGAAAACGCGACTCGCGTCTCGTCAAATTGTGGTCCTCAAACAGGAAGGTCAGCGATTCCGCTACTTCCGTCGTGCCGATTCCGATTTCCGCCAGTGGTCTGGTCACATCCAGGGACCAGGCAGAGGTATTCCCGGGATGTGTGAAGTTCCGGTTGAGAATGGGAGGAAGGTCGTGATACTCATCCGCATTCCTCGTCGTGTCTCCCATCCGCATCGAGTCGATATTCTACTTGGGCTCACCTCTTGTCATATTGACTCCTACAAATATCCCAAACCACAACGGCATGCTGCGGATTCCTTTTTGTTGGCTGATGACGCGGAAGAACCTGGCATCACGAGCTGGGAATCTGATCGGGGGGCAGGCGAGGGTGGGCTCGGTGGGTTTCGTTGGCAGATTGCCTCACGCAGTGATTTCCATCCACCGTAGCTGTCACGAAACTCTTTGGCCGACGGAACAAGATGCTCCAACACTTTCTGGCTGCTGGAAAACTGCTGCTGCAGCGGTCGGATCAGATGATTTCGTGCGGTATGCGGACATCTGGGCTGGTGACTTCTGAATGGCTTTTTCGGGTCTAACTTGTCGAGTATTGCTGGTGGTACTGTTCTGAGGGTTGGTACTGCGTTGTTCGGCAAACAACTACTTGGTACTGTTGGAGGTTGTGTGCACGGCTTGTGATGCACGGCTTAGGGCTGCTCGATCGGGGCTGTCCGGTGGCGAATGGACAGCGACGACCTCAGGGTTAGTCGTGGACCGATGTGGAACAGTCAAAGCGATGGAGAACAGGCTTGAGTCCATTGCACGGGCAGGAATCAATGCTGTGTTTTTTTCCACGGATATGTATTGGCGTTGGTGGTGTGAGGCGTAGTGTTCGTCTCTTGTGTGGTGTGTTTTGTTGTGAGGTCTGCATTCAATATTTATGGGTTGTTCTAACATTACTCCTCCGACGATCGTGGCGCTATGCTGCTGTTGGTTATGTCTGAACGTATTCCTTGAGTTATTAATCGCTCATGTCCGTTGAACATATTTCGGATGATCACACACAGTTTTCCCCTGGACCTAACTCACGCACCGATGGCATCTCTCTATCCCTCTCCTGGATTCCGTCTCTTCTTCGTATTCTGTTTCTTACGCATGGCTGAATAATTCCACCTCGACCCTCGTGACCACGGAACAACCGGATTTCACCGGCTGTATTTGCGAGGAAACGCGCTTCGGAAACGACGGCTTCCTTTCACAGTAAATTTGGAATTTCCATCCCTGCAAATTTCCCATTCGATGGCGGCGCATGGTTGAGCGCGGCGCCGATTCCGCACGAAGGGAACCGGGGGGATTTCCCGAAAAATGCGCGTCGGAGAAATTGAATTTTCGCTGTGGACTTCTACTTTTGATTCAAATCCGTAAATCGAATACTTTGAGATGGTCCCTGAATTGCTCGCGCCCGGACTTGGCTGTCATCAACCGCAGACACCTTCTCTAATAACTTGAGGATACGAATTTTCCAATTGAACGACCATGACAAACGAGGTGTCTCTCCTCGAAGTCCTCGTGGACACGTTGCGTAACACATTGTTGATTCGGTTGCTGAAGTTGCTCCAGAAGACATACATACATACATGACAGTCGTCCCTGTGGCAATAGGAACCAGGGTAGGTTTTCCCTACAGAGACTGAATGACTGACTGGCTGAGGGGAGTTGATGGGAAAACGGGTGGTTTGGGCGCTGGGGACCAGGAATGGTTGGGCAAGCAAGCAAGCAGCTAACGGAAATGGATATGATAAGGTCTCCAGGGAAAGTCCGGGAGGTTGATATGTCCATTCTTGGATATGTTTCATTCATGATCTCTTAGTTCTTCTCCTCCTCTCTGCTCGTCATCGTCATCATTCGTGGCAGGACCTCATGACGAGCAAGGAACGGGATTAATAGCGGGCGGTAAGCCCGCCGGCTGGCTGTTCGTTTCGGATCTAGACGAATTGATGCCGTTCAAGCAATGCGCTTCATGTAGGCAATTAGTTCTGTTGTCTATGTGCATAGAAGATGCTGCCTGCGGAAACGCGCAGCAGCAGCAGACGACAAATGAACTAACGAACGATGGGACGATCATCTCAATGAACGGAGGAATTCTCAGCCATAACAAACATGTCGAAGCATGCGGACATGTACGGATAACATTGTTTCTGAAAACCGGGGTCTCAACAACCGCTGCTCGCTTCTCAGTGTTTTTGGCGAGGGTGATCGCAACCTCATCACCCCAGTCTCTGTCGACCGTCCTCCTTCTGACACTATCTGACGATTCGTCTCTCAGTCCCCGATCATGTAGTATCGTAACTTTGGATGCAATTTGTATCATCATCCTCGACGACAATTATTGTTATTGATATTATTACTATCGATCGGAGAAGACCCGAATTCGGGATTGGTCAGTGTCAGTCAAACGATCGGAAGGTTATTCAGAACTTGCCGAAGTCCCGCATGGCGCTCAAATATTTTTCCCCCTCATTCGAATTTCCCGGAGAGGAAGAGCCTCTCAACGAAATAGGAGAACTTCCCCCTTCCAAGTCTCGCACAGCGGTCGATGAGCGATCCGAGAGAATATTCACAGGTAGTCATTGCGTGTTCAATGTACAGAGAGAACGGGATGAGTTGCAATGACATGAAAATGTTCAATGGTTTTGTTGTTCTCGTTGTTGATTCTCGATCTCCGAATTTGAACCGATTGGGACGAGCGCTCGCACCCATTGAGCAGGATATAGCTTCGAAGAATTCTGTATCGGCCCGGTTGACTTCGAAAAGGAACGGGAACGGGCCTTGATTGCTCGTGTTCCGTCGAGAAGAGAAATAATTTTCGGTATCTTTCCTCCATTCAAGCTGTTTACCCTGTTTTGCCAGAAGACGGACTCTGACGGAATTTTTCGGTCAGTTGACGTCAGAGTGACGCTGTTCTAAGAGAACACGCTTTCAATGTCTCACGCTCGATGAGGCTGAGGAGGATCGCTCGACCTGGGTCCAAGCATTCGGGAACCCCGGCTGTGAAAATGGGGAACTCCGCTCAATCGGTAGCACATCCCGAAACCCAATCGAGACGTTATCGTTACCATTTGATGGATAATCATTTGACATCTTTCCGCCATTCTATGCTGCTCCTAAGGAATTTTTACTTTTCTCTATTCTGCGCTAAAGCTGTGATTGTAGTCGGGTCCGGTCCCGAGGAAGTCGAATAAATGTTTCAGGCTCGCAGACCAAAGTCATTTCGACCCGCTACGCTCAAATACAGGAGTACGGCTACTGCCTGACTATGCAGAACGTTAGAGGAACTGAAGCTAAACGACATGGCTGTCGAGTTTTTGTGTGTGAGTCATTCTTCTCCCTTTTCTCCTTCTCTCTCTTCTCCTTCTTCATCTTGTCCTCCTTATTCTTCTTCTGAGACCTCCCCGATTGTTACTATCGTTAAACCTATGAAGCATCGCAAAAGTTCGAACAACGCGCTGCTCTACGGTCAGATGAAGAATGAGTGATCGGGTCGCGCCTTGTCACTTCGTACAGCGGCACCTTGAAAACGAGGCGCTTGTAGTCCACGACTTGCTTAGGATTTCCAGGAATGATGAGTTCTCAAATGCCTTTCACCGGCTCCTTCCTCCGGTTTCTCAAATGATGAGGTCGTTGTGGAGTCCGGACGCGTGTTTTTTTTGTCCGTTTCTCCATTCGAGAGGCAACGACCGCTCGCACATAAGATGATGATAACGCTTGTTGTTGTTGTGGCAGCGGTGAAAAAGGTACAGGTCGCCGACGGGGTTTTCGGCGACAAGGAGAGAAGGTGGTCTCTCTCCTGCTCTGATTGTCGAGTTGCCTGCAGTGGAGATAAGGCACACACTTACAGTCAGAAGGCTCCGGGCGAATCACTCTAGAGTCGAGAAAAAGAAATAATTGGAGATGGAATCTCTGAGATCGCAACCTATTCCTTGCGTCTCTCATTTTGTTTTTCAAGCTTTTCTACCCAAAGGAAAAACTATCCTAGTACCTAGCCCAGATCAGTCTCTAACCGAATTATCAGAACGAGGGAAAAGGTGAAGCTGATATGGAGATATTCGACTCTTCGACCTTGACACCTCAAGGAAAAATTATTCTTAGCCTCCACTTACCCTTGAGATCGATATTACCGATGCCTCCTTCTTCTGTCGTAGATAATTTGACTGCCGCGGGTCGCAGTCTACGGTTTCGATCGGATGTTTCGTGTCTTCGTTCGAATGAGTTCGCCGTAGAGGAAAGTAGTTCATATTGTGGCGAATGGCGTCCCTTGTGAATTGCGCGGCGCGCAACCGCAAGGCGGACAGACCATTTCTTTTACAAGATTGTTAGAAAGGACTTCGTCTTTGGTTTAAGCTGTAGCTTGGGCCTTAATCGCGTCTGGTCAGACGCAGCCGTTGGGTTCTTGTTGATTCCGTTTCTTAAAGGAGCGTACGAGCTGAGAAAATGCTACTCGTGAACCATTGTTCGGTGTCGGAAGGTTTTTTTCAAGGGTGGGTTGCTGGAGTTTCGCCTGAATTTTCGATAGAGCTGCGCAGAAACGTATTTTTGCAAAAATACGCGGACGACTCGACAGCCGAATCAAGCCCAGGTTGGATCGAAGCTGTGAGGTAGTTGGGAGCAGAGTGATCTTCCAGAAGATGAATTCCTACGAGGTCGGGTCCGAAGTGACTAGGTTCCGTAACCGTGGTCGGGGAATTTCCTCCGAATAGGCGCTGCGTCGACGCAGATTCTTCTTCTGAGGTACCTGTGAGTCTTCACGGATGATCGCACCTTTGATAGGTGTCTGGATCTGATGAGATATCACGGAACGAGTCGCTGCAGAAAGCATCCGAAGAAACGCCAGTATTCTCTCCCGATAGGGAGCACCGTGATAGGACGAGAAGGGAAAAGCCCTTCCTGAGGATGCAACTCCGAAGCTCTCGTAGCTCTTCTGTTTCTTGTCACTTGCTGCTGGCGCCGAATTGAATTATTTGCCAGAGAATAGTGAAGACACTCCAGAACCCACTTGCTGTAGGAACGATGATGCTTGGTTGGGTAGTCCGGTTCCGCAGACAGCGGCGGCCGAGTAGCGTCTCATGTTGGCTCGACTGCAAGAGGAAACAAACAAGTTACGAAAGAATTCTGCTTACATCTCGGTGATTCCTCCCCGGTCTCATCTGGAGTATGTACTCTCAGAGCGGAACATCGTGATTTGCTTCCTCTGATCACAATACACTGAAGAACCCTCTGACCCAACACTAAGTAAGTAATGTCGGACATCCCACCGGACCCGATTCGGTCTCCAGATCTACTCTCGGATAGAGAGGCCGCTGTTACATTTTTCGTTATGTGATCCGGCGCTGGCCTTCAAGCGAGCTCGACTGTTGTCATAAGAACAGCGAACCTCGAGGAAGCGGATGGAACGCTCCACTGAACACGTAAGTCAGCAAGGAGAGAGCTTGTTTATTGCTCACTCCTCAGTCACCTGGAGTCGGACAGGTGGGCAGCTGCTGAGTGACCATCTGTACAGGGATGTTCAACCCAACTGCGAGTTGGTCAGCCAAAAGGCAGGTTGTGATTCAGCTGGTCCCGAGGCAAGAGGTACCTACTTCGAGTGGAGCCACAGTCGACTGAGGGAGCTGGAGGCAACAAAGCATCGAGCTGGATGCGTCAGCGTGGGCGCGAAACCGGCGGCGTCGATGGGGACGGAACGAGAGACGAGACATTCGGCTCAACAGAGGACGAATGAGAAATCAGAGAGATAAAAAGTAACTCCGCTTTCCGGCGTGAGAAAGGAACTACAGCACGGGGAAAAGTACAAAACGTCCGCTTGTATAACCAGACGCAGTAAGCTCCTCGACAGAAAAAGACTGACACCCACTGGAGGAGCAATCAGGCTAACACGCAACGAGCATCGAAAGCAGCCCCAGCGACGGGCCGACTGACCAACCGACCGGCGGACCAGCAGGCCGTTCGGAGGCCATGCCACCAGACAACCGGGGGTCCAGTAGTTCGCTCGCCGCCAGAGGCTGACGTTTCGAGGAAGGAGAGCGGAGATCGAGACAAGCTATTGTATCGGTGCTCTGGAGAGCAGATACGGTGGAGGAGCACGATTCCAATGGGAACGGGAAACGTAGTGCGCGGACGCGGGGACGATAAAGACGAACACTCACTCGTTCAGACACACGCACGCACGCCGAAGGAGAAGAGCGAGATAACTCTTGGAACAGAGCCGAGAGAATGGGAGCTCTGCTGTAGATATTCCGTCCACGTCGATGATTATGACTCTCATCCCACGTTTGATGGACACATACAAGCAGCAGAGCGACCGACCGAGCAGTCGGCCGTGCGGCCGGACGGGAAAACAGAGGATCGAGTGGAGCGACTCAGAGAACACAACAGACGAAAGAAGACAGCGGAAAAATGATGCCTCTCCGAGCGAGGCATCTACCTCGTTTCGATTACGCCACTCCATATAGCCGGATCCATTCATATTCCGCGGTCGGTGCTGAGCTCATTTGCCGAGCCTGAACATCGATGATGCGGCGGCTCGACTGGCCGAGTTGGTAGACGACGTGAGATCAGCAACAAAAAATGTCGCAGATCTCGCTTCAGCTGTTCGCTCGTTGGCTATCAGGACGAGAGCACTCTTTCGAACAGACATGGAGTTTGGGCTCAATCTCCCAATATATTGCAACACTGACGAGTGAGTCTATGGCGGATTTTTCCTCATCGCGATGTTTTAACGTGAAATCCACGCATCGTACACAATGAGCGGACGCACGTATACGTCGGAAATGAAGCACAAGAGGGAGATCTTGTGTCCTGCCCCGCCATTTTTCCGAGCCGTAGTATGTTTTTCCTGCATCTTCGGCCTCGCGTATGTAGATCCGAGACGAGGAAATATCTCTGAGAGCTCTCAGCCGAGAGTGTCGCAGGATATGTACTATTCGCGATACATTTGTACTGTTGTAGTTCATTTGTCAAACCATGCGCGAGCCCTTTGTGTTTTCGACCGTTGGGAACAGCGAGACAAGATGGCCAAAAACACTTGCCGAGTATCTTCCTGATTCGGCCACGGAAATACTGTGTATTCACACCGATACTACACATCGCTTGCGAAGTCTAGGATTCGGAGTAGGAGCAATCATTTTCGGTGGATCTTGCGCGGTCACCCCAAGGTCCTCCTCTCCGAGAATATTCCGCGCAGTGTTGGATTTATAGGCTGCCCATTGTTCGTCATGGACGAGCAGACTGACCAGCAGGAAAAACATCCACAACTGGCTAGGTACGCGCGCGCTTACAGCAGCTAGTTGCGTATTAATGAGGAGTGCGATTGCTTTTGTGCATGGATACAGGGCCGCGAGCTCCGAATCGCTCCGAATTACCCACTGTAGAGTTCGGACTAAGAGCTCTGATGTGAGAGTCCGTGAGCTCGTCTGATATCCCTCCCGTTGAGGAGAAGCAACGCCTCATACACATCGGGTTCGGGAATATGTTTTTCGCACCCGGGAATACTCTTTTCTGAGATTCGCCTGAGGAATCAATTCTCTATATGGTCTGCGGAAATTAATGATTCCGTCGATAGCTGTAGCGGCGGATGAGCCCTGTGGGATACCGTGCAGGGACGGGATCGAGTTCTGAATATTATTGTTGAAATTGATCCTCGCTAAAGTCTACACGTTTCCATTGTCTACATGAGCGACCCTGGTCCAGGGGCGACTTCCCTCAGCGGATCCTCCGCCGCGTCGAAGGATTCGATCTTGCTTAGGGGAATGCAGCATCGGCTACGGAGTTGAAACGACTAGAGCTCACAAACGCCGAACAGGCTCGTGCCCCCTTGCACAGAGGCGAGCTCCTCAACGAGTGATAAGCGAAATAACTCGACACATTCTCATCGAAACTGTACCCGATTGCGTTGCTCGAAGAAAAACTCCCGAGTAGGCGAAAGGAGCGAGGCATCTGACGTCACCGACCGAGAGGTTCTCCTCCGGGACCTTGCGTCGGATGAAGTATCGCAGTATATCGGCTCCAGTATATCGAGACCTCACAATGCAAAACGCTTCCAGCTGTACAGACAACATCACCTCGTTGAGGTTGTAACAGTTCCTCCGCATCCCCTTATCTGCATACAAAGTCTCGAGGTGCAGCTGCGCAGACATCGAAAGGAGTCTTGCATTCAGTCGACGAACAGTCAATGGAAGTCAAGGCACTCGCAGCTGCAGACGGTGTACACCAACAACAGCTGCAACAGCCTGGCTACAGCAGTCGCGGTGTCGCTGCCGTAATTGAATGCGAGCGATAGATAGATAGCTCGGAGCAGGGACGTTGCCAATGGAGAACTTGTGACATTTTTCACACAAAACCATTCGACCGGAAGATCGGGCGCCCTGCCCTCGCTGCTTGTCTACCTGCGCGCCTTGAAACCTCTCCCGCAAGCCGGATCCAGGTGCATGGTTGGCAGGCAGGCTGGTTGGTGGCTCGGATGATTCGCTGGATGGCTGACTTGATGGCGGCAAAGTTGAAAAACGACGTCCCCCGTCCCCGTCTGGCCCGGCCACCGTCGCAGCTGCCGCTCACAAACCATTCCACGACGAACCGCCCTCGAGGCTCAGGTGTTGCTTCGGCCGTTGCTTGGGCGGAGGTCGACTTACGCTTCTACTCCCTCGTCGACTACCGAGCATCACAAGCAACGGCGTTGGATCGTTGCAACATATTTATCACGGCATCGTTGAATTCCTCCCGTCGAATAACGAGGATCTGACGATTGCGAAATCGGGAGAAGGGAACGGGAATGAACCGCCTCAGATGAAGCTACGGCGTCATAACGGGAAAACGATCTGCTCCGGCAGTTAAAAATGTCCGTATCGTGTAGCACGCCTCGTCGGGCCAGGATGCGCTCAGGACACTGCTTGACGTTCGGAAAAACACGGGACGCGAAGAAAGGCGACGGCGGCGGAAAAGACTGTCGCAGGAGGAAACGAGCAGGGCGGCCGGCGTTGTTCCTCCCGAAATGGGCCCTGCCGACTGGGTTCATCAGACACAAAACCGACCGACAACGACGAAAGAAAATGACGGCAGTAAAAGGCTTGAATGTCGCCACCATCACAACCGGCTCTTCCGCCAAAACTGCTGTCACTGCGGCCGGCGGCGGGGCTAGCCTGCTATCATAAACCCCACGCCAAGTACCAACGAGCACAATTCCGTATGCAGAGGATCCGAGTGCGACAGCCCCAACGGCCCCCAGCCCTTATCCCACAGCCCCCCAGGCGGGGGAGGGGGCGGGTGGATACGAGGCGTGGAGCCGAGTAACTAGCGGAATTCCAGGCTAAGCTCATCCGGGACTTTCTTCCGATCGTCCAGTCTTCGAGAATCCTTCAGGCGTTCTCGGTATGTTCCACGCCGGACTCGATGCTCGAGATCGTCCCAATCGAAATTCTCGAAGCAAAATTCTAAAATCGAAGAATTCCTCATCCCGAGAGATCGTCCTCGGCCCTCGGAACGGAATGCTCGCGGATCCGTCTCAGGCATGTATCGAGACGTTTCCCCGCCATTGTCTTGGGTGACGAATTCTCTCTCGACGAGCACTCCCGAGACCACGGACAATCCTCCACCGCTGCTTCTGGGTCAGCTACTTTTCCTATCGCATCCGATCTGCTCCGTTTCCGTGTTCGATGATGCGGAGGATCGCACCGGTCGCGTCGAATCCGAAGTTAACTTGTTCCGAAGTCTATCCGGATCGAGCGAGACGGGAGCCGCACAATTGAAACATAGCACCGAGTATAGTCGGAACAGCGACCGTGGTCGAACATGTTGTAAAGAGCACGTAGATTCAGCTCCCGCGGCTGGTCCGCTGGCAAGCTTGCCCTGAGGTGAATAGGAAACAAGGGAGCGGGAACTCGCCCGCCTCCCGCCCGACCAAGTTCCCCGTCTGTGCGTCGTTGCTCCCTCTTCTCCTACTCTTCCTCTTATCCCCCCGCCATCATCTGAGAGAAACTCTACCACTTCAGAGATAAGAGGAGGAAGTAGAAGACGAACCGCCGCCGCCGCTGCAGCCGCTACCGTCTCTGGATGAGAAGAGCGAGCCAGAGAAAGACCGCTATGTCGGGGCCGCGTATGGCCTCCCGACCGTCTGTTCTGGGGAGAAGGAGCTCGAGTGCGACTGTCTCGCTTTGTTGAGTGCGCACAAAGGTACGTCTATAATAAAAATAATAACAGCAGCAGCAGCTTCAAGCGTGAGATTATATTGGAGAAACTGAAGGCGGGAATACTCCGTCGTTCGGGTCCATCCACGTCACGAGTCCATGGAACAATAAATTAAATGGTCATCCGGACAGACGTTGAATGCTCGCGGGGGAAAATCGCTGAGAGCGGGGGCAGACGTTTCTCGGGACTGTCGCTTACTTCCATATTTTATTTTGACAGGAGTCACCTCGACGGCTCGGGAATGATTTCCGGCAATCCGATCTGTTCGGGAAACGGAGAATCCTCATCCGGAACCTCAGCGCGCCGCGAATAATATCTGTTTCCCGGGAACTTCGACATTTCCACCAAACGGCCATCAGAGCAGATTTGAATCATCGGAACCTCTCACCGTGAATTCTGTGGAGTTTTGAATTTCGAAAAGAGCAAATTGGTACCTTCTGAGATCTCGACGGAGGATCGCTCCCAGCTGTGGAAGATCATCAACCAAGCTGATCAGACCGCTGGCGAGGTAGGATACACGAGGAGGGATCCCGCCTGGATTTCTTGTGGATCTCGGTCACTCACGTTTCAATGTCTGAGCTGTTTTGCGTTTCGGGTTTCAACCCCGCCGTCTGTCGGGTAGATTGTTCTACATTCTCTCGGTCGTTCTTCCCCCCAGCTCCCAAGATCCCGTTCCATCTTTTCATCTATTCCTCGCAAAGAGGAATTAGGCGCCAGGGATGTGAATTATGAACCTGTTGGTGGGTTGGTTGGTTGCTAACCACCCAGCGACCGCCATTCCCAACGAAGCGCTGGCGAACGAATCATTCCTACGAGCCGTCTCGCGGAGCGAAGGTGGGAGCTACGAGTCCGCGAGCGAGTATCCAAACGAACAATCGACTTGTTCAGCCTTCAATTCCAATCGACGTCATCCGACTTACGAGAGCGCTCGCGGCAAGAGCGCTCCAGAGTGACGTCTTCCGTGTGGGTTCCAGTCGTCCGTTTCGCGATCTCGCAATTATTCTTTCGCAAGCGAACTGAGACATATACGCTTCAACATGTTGAATACGAATTCGGGGTTTGAGACCTGGGCTTTGTTAGCTATACAATGATGACATGATTCAAGTCGTCACGTCATACGTCTCTCTTGAACGGCATTCCGTGCCGAGGCACAACGAACGGCGAAACGCACCGGAGAAAACGTAAATCTGTGTCCTCACCTCGGTCTCATCCGCGGTCCGATTTGTTGTTTTCCTCCTAATTTTTCCCTCTTGTATCATACGAAGCAACGAACATCACAGCACCGCTCACTGCCCACCGAGCTTATCCAATGCAACTTTCCGGAGGTCTGACGCAAATCAGCTGATCCGACACCTTGTTTTTGTCACGCCGGAGGAACGTTCCGCGGGCCGGAGCAGAAGCAGCCAGGCGGCCGCATGCTCCTAGCCTGCCGGCCCACCTCCCACCCGCCACCGTTCGTGGCGCGGGCTGCTCGAGTTCTGTTTCTCGCGTCGAGCGGCGGCACGGTACGGCATGGAGGCGGCCATGATGACGTCTGGTGGCGCCCCCGGAGTCCCTTCCTCGCACTGTTCGCCTCTCCATCCTCCTCACATTCTCTCCCGCTACTACCTTTCACCCATGCCCTCCTTAGCCGCCACCTACCCCCACCCCCTCGCCCCCCAGCCAAAACCTTATCCTCCCCAGTGTTCTTCGCATAGGAACAGCATGGCCTGCCGGCTAGCTAGCTAACCGTCCGGTCGCTTAAACAAACGAGTGCGACCCGCTGGCCCACCGATGGGACTTAGGACTGGACGGGGCGCAAGAAGCCCGGTGCAAAAGTACAGCCCCACCCCTGCCCTTTTTTCCCGCTTACCGCGTACGCCGGACCCCGTCTCACCTGAGCGACCACTAGGGGGCGTTGATCGCGCGAGTCATTGAACTCTCCTCACTCACAAGAAGTTCGGAGCGGGAATGCCAAAAAGATGACAGTTCCCCGAGCAAATGATATGCTATATGTGAGCCGGTGGCAAGACCTCGCAGGAAATGCAGAGAATGTCATCCAGCCGATGGAAAGTTTCATTGCGGATGTGTTCGAATCTGCTTCCTTCGAACTGGGAAGGGAGTGGGGGATTCCTCTGAAACTTCGATGGAAGCTTCGAGTACCGTGTTATTCTCCTTCCTAAGCTGCGTCCGGATTTCGCTCGTAATCGCCGCCTGACGCAAAGCGAAAATGCGCGGGGTTCACCCACGGAGGTGAGCCGTGGCGGATAGCAGATCCGTCAGAAAAGGATGCGCGCTCGCTTCAGCCTTCGAACGAATGCATCGCAAGTTCTCTCACGTTTATCATACGAGACTTCCCATTGAACCCTCCCGGAGGAACGTTCCCGCTATCGGGTTCGTAAATTATCTTTAATATGATGCGCTGATATTCCCATGTTCCTTCCACGCATCCCTCCCGTAAACCTCGGCCCAGACTCCCTCCCTGTTCCTCTTCCGGGTTTCGTTCGAGGGCGCTCTCCTTCCAGGGGGAATAAGGAACCGGACTCGACGAACGGAGCTCCGTGCGTCATTCGCTAGCTTTGCTAACCCCATTCGCTCCGTATGGAACTTTGGAGAAGTCTAAGCCGCTCTCGAATACTTAATTCCAGGTTCTTCCTTGTTTCCCTCCAAAGGAGTAGTTCCATCGAACAACAACCGCGGAACGAATCATCTCATCAAAAAACGCCTCGTGGACTCGAACAAAGCTCCAAGGCCCAAAGGAATTGCTAAGACTTCGTGACCGGATCTCTGGAGGGGGTTTGTTTGTCGTGCCGCTGCTCTCTTGAGAACAGAGTCTCGGATCGTAGTCGCATTTGGGAACATCGGTGGAGCCCGCGCGATAATCTGCATTGCTGATGCTGTCGTGAATAGGGGCCAGCTCCGGTCGGAAGGGGAGAACACGAGAGCAGAGCACGAGAATGGCACGGACGGGAGGAGAGAGCGAGCCAGAGCAGACGCGAACTAATTTGAGTTGCGGACGGGGGCTGGAAGGGTCGAACGCCCAGGGGCCAAACTGCCACAGCCAGCTGGCATTGAGCTGAACCTCCATCATTTCTACGTCGACCCTAATCCCAGTGGGTTTAATAAGCCCGCGCTTCCACCCTCTTCCCATTCCCGTCGTATTGCGACCGGTTCGTTCCTGGTCTTGACCGAACCCGGTATCCGTAGGTTTCCCGCTTAAAACTCCTCAACCCTGCGTTCTGCGGCATTCCCACACCTCTCCGTCTTCCCATGGGGGCTCATTCTGAACGGACCCCGAACCGCCACCCGAAACGACTTTCGGTGTTAGCAGCAGCAGATGGTGGACCCGTTTTGGGTGACCCTTGGCGGCATTCAACAGCTTCTCTCGCAGATGTTGCTTCCGACTATCACGGAAGCCTCAGACCGCACTCTCCGGCCGGGAAGAACTCTTTTCGTCGCTATTCCTCTCAGCGCCGGCACCATAATCGCCATAAGGAGTGCGCTTGGACGAGAGACGCAACGCAGAGCGGCCCTATTCACCCGAAGCGCTCCAGGAGCTCCGAGTGAGCGAACTCGATTCTCGATTCCTTAGACCTACCTGGAATTGAAGAAATCTGCACCAAGGCCCGTTGAATTACTAGATGTGGTTGTAGGGGATTGAAACTTTGGCGACGAGAAGAAGTTCGAAAAACGCGAATCCTGTTGGTGCATCCCCACTGACGAATGCCTTCGAACTGGCACACCTGCGGATTGCGTGCCGGTTATCATTTTCGGGCTACCAGACTTCATTCAAAAAACGTAGAGTTCGATTGTCTGCCAGGATTCGCACACGAGGTGAATCCGAGGCGAATCTCTCGGTGAGAGCCAAGCAAATAAGTGCCGTTAGTTTTTTACCGGAAGATGTGTAGCCGAGAGGCGACCCCGTGCACGGAGAGCACGGAGCCACTAGTATACGTGGGGGCTGGATCGTGTTGTCCGAGTGGCGCCTACCGGGAAGCGTAGCTTGTACACGCAGGAGGTTCGAGTCCGGTGAGGATGAGGCTGGAGAGGGGAAAAAATCTCCGTCAGAACTGTTCTTCCTCACGTACGACACCTGTGCAAACTCCGATCGTCGTGGGGGACGGGGGCTTTCGCGGTGCGTCGCAGCATCGCTTCCCTTATATTCCTTGCTCATCGGAAAATAGAAAGAGGCTCAGACAGCAGAGACTCGATCGGGCAGAGCTCGAGGGATTCAAGTTCGAACTCAGCGCATAGTCGTCGTTGGGAAGAGATCGGAGCGGTCGGGTGGAGATACCCCGCCGCGGAAAATCGTTCTGAACCCGGGGAAAATTCCGTCTAAGCACGGAGTGACTGAGCGAACGAACCAAATCCTTTGATCCTGCGGCAATATTTGCCCGAAGTCGCTGGTGGTGGTCGTGGTAGTGGTAGCGGTGTTGTCGAGAACAGCGCATCCGTACAAAAGGATCTCCGCAGACACGGGAGGGATCAATGGAAGCAGCCTATCCAGGGAGGATATACAGCAAAGTTGCGGAAGGCGAGGAATTACTTCAGAGTCACATATGCGATCTCGGTGAGAGGGGGAGCCAGTGAGTCCGCGATCGAGCACCGTTCAATCTGATTCTCAAAACTGTTCCCTCGTCAATCTCCCGAACCCGCTCGACTGTGGACCATCAGAGAGTCCCGTTCGGAATTCGTCCGGTGATTTCTCTCGTGTCCACGGGTCGATTCTCGCCTTACCGACACTGAATCCGATCGTGTCCTCATTCCCGTTATTTGATTGTCACGGAAAGTCTCTGTGTCCGGGAGCAGAACAACTGAAATACTACTCGGACGAATGCCATTGCACTTAGTGAATGGGTGAGTGAAACTAATCGCCGCTTCTGCATCTCTCTCAGTTTCTTTCGCCGAGGGAACCGCGTGCCATGCTGCTCGCCGGTCCGCCCCACCGTTTGCTTCCCTTTTCGCTCAATCGCTTTCACGCCCACCGGCAGCTGCGGGTAGATCCCCGCTCGCTTGCTCCAGCTCCATATTGTCCCGCGCCTTCCAATTAGCTGCTGCATGGCGGGAGGGGGGGGGAAGCGGGGCAGCACGGTGAACAGCATCGACGGGGGACGGGAAGCAACAATCGTTGCAGCGCGCAGTAATGGAATAGCGACCGATGCGATAACAGCAAAGACAGTAATGAAATTGACAGTCGCAGCACTGCGAAAAAAAATGGATTGGAGCAACGAAACCCACTCGATCTTGGTTGCGGCGTCTTGCGGCAGCACCTTTTCTGCAGGCTGGTACTAATGGTATCAACGTGACCCGACTCGCAGATGCGCATATGGAAGAATCGATGCACTAAAGCACCGAGTAGTTACGAGGGACAAATAGAGAGCCATCAAGCATAGGAGAAGTGGGATACGAGAGGGACAATAAAGACAAGCGAAGGAATAAGCTCCACCCGTAACGAGACCGACACCGACTCGTTTGCGAAGTAGTAACAGAGCGACGAGGAGAGAGGCACAAATCGGATTGACCAGACTGGAAGACGGAGCACAAGCGGGCAACATTGCTCGAACCAATCTGCCTTAGATGTTGTGCATGCATGGACCCGGCACTCTGCAATGGAGGTCTCGGGGGAAACAACTTCTGAAATCAATGTCCGTCGCTGGTTCTAATGCTCTGATGGAGGGGAATCACTCTTTCGTTGGAGAGATGGATAGCATTCCGATTCGGAGCAATGTCGTCCCAAGTGTGATGGTCCCCGAGATGGTCGTTGGTTCCTGGAACGCCGGTGGCCGGGAACTCCGGCTCAAAATACTGACCACCCTCGAAACGGTGGGGATCTCTGTTATGGGAGAAATTGCGACCGGCCCACCGAAAACGTCTTGGAGCCTCTCTCTCATGGCGGATACGAGACTCACCTGAACTACATGTCCTTCTTACGACGTCATCCATGGAAATCGAAGTACGCCTGGACTCGAGGCGCAGCGACGGCGGACGATGAGGGTATCCAGTCGGCTGCTCGATCGCGCTGAATTGCATCGGTTGAGTGTGCACTGGAACTCTGCGATCAAATAGGGAAGCTCACTTAATTCCAACCTTCCCGATCACCTATCCTACATCTCGAGCAAAGTTCCGGGGAAATCGATCGGTGTTCCCGTTTTCCTAGAGGTCAGCGCATCACAGAGTCAAGGATTCGAGAGCTCATTCGAAACCTTGACCCTCCGTCCCTCGGAAGCTTGTTATTCCTTCATCTATAAAGTCATCCACCAAGCGACCATTCCTGGGACTCATGGGGAAGGTTCCGGGAGGATCGGAAAATTACAAGTATAATAGTTATAATCAATCTCGATTCTTCGAATAGTCAGTCTCCCGCCAGCCATTCAACTATCCATCGATCAATCATCTTATTATGCGTCGACCGACAATAATGATCGATCCGTTGAGACTTGAGACGAAATCGTCGACGACGAAGACATTGCCTGATATTTTGACGACAAAATAATTATTCTGATGTCTCGCAAGAAGATGATTGATCGATTAGCCAATAAGTCAGGAAATCATTCTATGTATCGAGAATTTCCCGATCAATCAGGAAGTCTGTGATCATCTCAATTTTCTATAGCGTAGTATTCAACGCCGAGCGCGGAATACCAACTGAAGCAAAATTTTCAAAGCGTTCCGGTCTTCGGCAAGAGGAACGATCGCCTACGAGGTACAGGGAAGCCACCGGTTGAGCTTCCGTTGTTCTGGATATGATTTTCGGCGTCGCTAGAAACATGCACTGCACTACATCTGACTATGGGAACGCTCGGTTGCTCCGCCAACGTAAGATACCCATGTAGCGTTTGACGCGCACTCTCCGTAATCGAACTTACGTCGGGGACGACTCTCTGGAGCAGACGGGGACCCCGTACATCGGAAATCCCTCCCCGCACCCCTAGAGCATACAGAGATTCCTCCCCGACGGTCATCGTGCGCTTCAATCCGAATATTCGTAAACGGCCCTCTGATGGAAGGAATCGATTTTTTTTCTTGCGGCTCAACTTTCCAATCGGGTTCGCAATGGAGGGTGATCATTCAAAAGGTGGCGGAGGCGAAGCAGTTCCGATTTCGGATTCTATACAAGCGCGAGGATTGGATTTTCTCTACGAGAATCTCTAGGCAGGCTTTCGAGTTCCATCGGAATCGGAGCAACCCTCGCGTTCTCCAGCAGCCCAGGGCTCTCTTAGCGGTCATCAAGGCAAAGATCGGATCGAACGTCAAGGTCCAAGTTTGGGATCAAAGCAGAACGACGAAGCAATGTATAGGCGAGCGGTTGAGTGGACGGATCGACAAATGCGCCGATCGATCCATCGATCAATCAATCACTTTCTGCCGAGTGGTTGATGGGCACCGGAATATTTACGAACCTCTCCGCAGTATCCGATTTCTTCTCGTTTGCTCTGTCGTCCACCGTCGTCGCGCTTGAATCCCCAATGAATTATCTCTTATCGTTTCTATTCGCTCACTGGATCTCTACGAGCTGCTCCGACCTGACTACTCTTTGAATTGTTTGTGGTGACTTGCTCATTCCAAGAGGTGGTACATGAGCCATGAGCCCCAAGTCTCGGGCTCCAGTATAATTATTGTCTCAGAAGTTTTGAGTAAGAAGAGAGAATTTGAACTCGGACGCTCGTCGGAATTCCGACAGGCGAAGATCCGGAATCTGAATGCGATCTTCGGAATTCTCTAGGTGGAACAAGTGGGCGTGACTCCTTCGCTGGGGCACGGGGTACTTACAGTTCTGATGTGGATTGGAGGGAAAGTTTTTCCAACTTAAGTTTGTTCCTTTGACTTTTTGACACCGCGTCAAGCATCTCTTGGCAGAGCTCAGTCAGCTCTTGGAACTGCAAGCAGAATAAGGGAAAATGAGCTCTCGAGATCTCACCTTCGCGCGAAATGCGGTTTCTGTCCAATGTCATGGATGGAGAGGCACCTCCTGCCGGATTGACTAAGCGCCACATAACAATATCTATGCAAAAAGTGGCCTGGTATAACGGAGTTTCCGAACGATGTTTCCGAAGATTCGCTCGTTCTCTTGCTCCTTGCTCGCTCCGTGTCAGTGTCAAAGGCCGAAGTCCCCGCATTCGTGAAAATTTTGGCGGTACTGCCTGAATCCGTATAATTTCGGGGGCAGCGGATCTTACCTGGTCCAACTTAAGCGCTGGACTCACTGCGACCGGGATGAGAGTTGGTAGAACCTTCGTGGCAAGCAGGTTCACTGTGAGTCCGTAACGCTTATCTGCCATCATCCGCTTGTAGATTCCTGCGAACAGAGAATCGTCTCCTCATGACTAGACTTGATCGTGTACACGAGATCCGAACAGAGAGGCTTATAATGAAAAGAGCAGACGAGCTGCTCGAGACCATCTCCGAAAATACGAAAAAAATTCTGGTGGGTGACTCCGAGATTCGGAGAATACTTACGGACGACCGGCATCAATATCGTCGGATCTTGAACTTTCGCTTTTTCCAGCATGGGCAGAACTTGATCTAAAGTATCAGTTTTTTCCAGTTTGTCCATAACTTGTTCGATGCACGTTAGCGCGTTCGCCTGCACCTGCGACGACATACTGTGAAGAGGCTGAAATCGATTGAAGCGAATGAATTGAAGTCAGTTGTCTGAGCTTTCCGCGGAGCGGCTCGCATTCCAACCTCAAGAGAAAACGGCATCTTTCTCGAAGAAAAAATTGACGAGATGAGGCATCTCTGTCCAGCGCGGCAGGAAAGTCGGGAATCCTTAAAGGCCTAGCCGACCCCGGGAAATTCGGTGCGGTCCGCTTCTGACACGATATAGGGTAGATGCATATGAGCTCATTTTCCTGAGGCGCATGAGCGCTTATTCCTCCAGTTCACGATAGACCCCACTGATTCTGACTTCCCAGCTGCGTCCGAATGTGCCCATCCTCAAGGGTGCATTCCGCTCACAAATCTCTCCTTGAAATCTCTATCGAGTGCCGTCTCCCCGAGTGCTTAGCAGCTAGTAGAATAACTTTGGCGGAAGGATCTTCTACTAGTCGGCTTCGATATGAGGGTGAATCGCAACAAGGGGGAACTGTAAATGGAAGACAAAGTCTTTACGCGGAGAACAAATAAGCGAGCCCCCCACAGGGCAAAGCAGCAACTCGATGCTTTGCCCCCGTCTTCGTTCTCGGTGCCGGTCGGTTTCGGCTGTCCCTGCGGATTCAACGGAAACAAACTAAAGCAGCTTGGACTTCACCAAATCCTCCACATTCCATGGAGGTTTGGGAAGTTATTTCTGCGCGTCGTCCCGACCGACCGGCAGCCCATTGCTAGCTCCGTGCCCTTCCGACAAAACGGAGACAGGTCAGGGAGTCACGTCATCACGAGAAAAAAGATATTTCGTTCTGGGAATCTGTCTCCGTATGTCATCCTCCCACGGTTTATGGCCAAAATGACCTTTTTTTCTCCGTCCTGACTTAATATCGATGCTCTATTGGTATGAGCGAGAAGAATAGAGGAGAGGAGACCGAAGGTGGAATCAGAGCTTTCTCTTTATCCGGCGGGATGTGAGAAAAACGGAAGATCCCTCGGTAGTCACCGATCCTCTGGTTGTTCAGCCTCAATAGCAAATCGGAGGGAACCGATAATCGCAGAATACTTTGCCGCTGGGGATCGAGCGATGCATCACGACGCGCTCAGCCGCTCGACCGAGCGGTCCGTCAGACCGTGCGTTTGATCGATCCGATTTCCGATGACTAATTGGTTGCATTTCTGCTAAATAATGGCATCTTCCCCCCAAAGCAGACTCTACGTTGGAATCAATCCTCAAGCTGATCGTTTTCCGCAATCAGTACCCTCGGTGGCCGCTCCAGAGAATCGAGCTAACATCCGTCTCCGAATCTCAACGAGAGTTTCTCCGAGGAAAGAGTCATTCCAGTTTCCGGCATCGTGATGAAACTAAGACGCCCGAAATACTCACCTTTTGCCCCGAGTTTGTCTCGAAGACAGATCTGGTTCGGGGAAGAACCATCTTCCGGACGGCGTTTTCGTCGAGGTATTCGGCGACATGAGCGGCAGCGCGTATCGAAGCGCATTGGATTTGTGGTGCCGTCGACTCAAAGGAATTGTACACCATTGGGAGAACGTCAGACTTGATGTCCGCTTTTGGGGTTTTAGCCATGAGAATATCTATGTTTTCAAGCAGAGTGACAGTTGCCTGTAATTAATACTTAGATTTGAGAATCAATTTCTCTACGTCTCTGCGATCCTGACTGCACGGACAAGCCCGTTATGCTCTGGCTTGAATCGAGCGCCCGAAGCTTCGCCAGGGGGGAATTCGGAGAGCTCGCCATTCCGGAACCGCTGTAAAAGGAGCTCCGGCCCCTCCAAGCGGAGCCCATCCGAAGAATTCTTCGCCTCTCCCTCCCCCGATCTTCGAAGCAGAACTATCCTCTGAGACGCGGTGCGCCCCCGTAACGGCGAAGCGAAGGCGTCTTCGGCAAGTTCCACGTCGAGAGATGCACGGTCCGGTCTCATGGTCCTCGTCGTGCTCGCGGTTTCCACGCAGGCGAGCGAGCAGCTCTTGCTTCGTGATTCGGAAAAGCTTCTCGAGCTCCAATACGCGAGAAAGGAAACAAACGCAAGAGAGCAAACATTGAGACTTATCATGTGTGTGCTCCTCGAGACCACATATGTTGTGTACAAATTCGACGACGCAAGTGAGCAGGTAGGCAAGCGAACTACAGACCTACAACACGGACGACGGGGAGGTTTCCCAAAAGACCGGTGAAGGTGAACTGAATCCAAGGATGAGAGATCCATCGCAGGAAGGAATCGGGAGGAATAGTATGAGGAGATAGAGTGGGAGACTGACTGCCTGAGAGGTGAATTCGGACCGGTGGCCGGAAGAGAGTTGCAAAGAGAAGGCTTTCGGCGACAAGAGAGCGAACGAACGAACGAATGAATGTATTGCAATGATGTCTGAGTTATGCGCATATTTGCGTCTCGTTTCTGTCCTCCGTGAAGAATTGGGCCTCTAGCTGAGCTGCCACCGGGCAAGCAGGCTGTTGCTCGGAGCATGATGACGAACATATGGAGATTTCCGGAAGCGACCAACGAGCATCCCGCTCTCTCTTGAGAATTCACTCGTCTCTCTTCTTGCCACAGATTTCCACTCTCTGCTCATGCCTTCACCATGATCATGTCTCTGTGAGTGAGACACCGGGTCCATCGAGTCTGACTGAACCAGGTCGCTTCTTGTACGCTCAGAGACGATCATTGCGGATAGGTTTAAATCTTAGTTTCGACGGAATTCTTTTCTCAGTCCGTTCTATTCGCTCACCTGGACAGACTTGGGCATTCCAAAGACGCTCCTGAAGACGGGCAGAATTATGCTTTGGTACTCGTCAAGGGACGAGTTTCCGATCATGTAGAGTAGAGGTTGAAGAGCTGCTGCCAGAACCTCTGGCGATTGCAATTCGGCTTGCAGCGAGGGCAATATGTGCTGCCACCATAATTTCTGGAAAATGGAATATCCCGATCTAAGTCCCGGATGCATAGCTGAGTAATGTCTGGATCCAGAATGCCGAACCGAATAATAAAGTGTTTGTCCGGCAAACTCAGGAACGTATCGACCGTTTCATGCCGTGCTAGAATTGAGTCGGATATCCAGGCCCGTTCGAATATGTTTTTTCGAGTGGACAATGCCTGGTACATACTTGAGGTTTTGATCTCTTTCTCCGGGGAATGTGGCGGTATGCGGACCTCGGGGCGCTTATTTGGAAACTCAACGCGTTTATAGGGAAAGTTTGCCCTTATTTTCGCTTGACAGCCCCAAGCGAGGCGCGAACCTCTTCGCTCATGTATTGCACCGCGGCCGAGTTCGTTAGGCAAATTGAAGGAACTCGTGATCGAATTGCGGTCGAGGAATACAGTGGAAAGGAGGCCCAGACTCCGAATCGCACGTTGCGGCAGGTTCCGCGCTCCGCCGAGTGACTAAAGTGATTATGTATACTGATGGAGAGACTCCGTGAGAACTGATCGCTGGCGTATCAGCTCGCGTTCGAGCCAAGTTTCCCGTCGGATAACAAGAGCGATCCTTCAAAAGTCCTGCGAGCCACCTCAATGAGTATGTATGTATGTTGGCTCCGTGGTTCGCGTTTCGCTACCGTCGGGAAACTGCTGAGTGTTTTCGGGATAGGAATCAGTATTTCTCTCGTTAGAACTTCACTATCATTGAGTCGACGTCCCTCTATCTCTAACCCTACGCTGGGCGTCTAATTTCCTGTCATAGGCGGAGACGGGTACCGAGGAGGTTTAAGGCAGGTGTCAAATCAGCGATATTGAAAAAAATTCCTCTGCTCAAATCTTCAATCTCGAGCTGTTGATCGTCAGCTCACCTTCGGTATGGCGGGCAGGGTTTGTTTTAGATTGTGGTAGTAGTGGGTCTTGTGGGTGGAGTCCTTCATCTGGATCACGTCAAGGTATTGGAGCGCGTGGACACCTGGATCCATGAAATATTTAATCTGCAAATTAAAAACGCTCCTGTCAGTGAGCAAGCAAACCGAATTCTCGTGCGCGTGGGCGGCTGACACAAGGATGAGTCGCTCGGGAAGCCAGAGTGCTGATACAGCTCGCTCGGATGTCTCAGATACGAGCACGACGCGACGTTACGGAGTCAAATCGCCCGTAATACGGAAAACGGAGGAAAAAAACAGAATCGAGGCGAGAGAGGCTCTGAAGCCGGAATACGCCGTCGAAACACTTACGATGGAGAAGTTCTGTGAGTTTGGTCTCCGCTTAGCGTCCATGTTGAGTAGACCCTGGAGGGGCTCCTGTAGGTGATGGGGAATTTTCTCCAGAAGCGACAGCAGGTTCGTGTTCATCTGGAACAGGCGGGGATCAGGAGGTGAGGCCAGAGAGGGAATTCACGTATTTGCTCCCGTGGACGCTTCGCTCAGAAAGGGAACGGGTGAATACGTGTGGAATGGAATCCAATTCATGGATAGAAGAAGAGGAATGTATCCTCGAAGATTCCTCGGCAGATGACCATCCGAGGTCCGGGCAGAGCTCGAATTCCGGGGAGAACTTCCCCTTCGTTCCCGCTCTCAGAACGAATATTGAAGATGAGCCGGGAATATATCTCGGGGGGAGCGCGGGGGAACTAACTCCAAGCCTTCGGTCTGAAACTTCAGCACGTTCGACGTGGAAATCAGAAGTCGAAGAGCAACTGCTGGAGAAGTGCACGGAATTTCTGAATTGCTTTTCGATGCATCCTGCCTCGCGCCCGAAGTTTGACGTTCCGCCGCCGCGAAAATCGTTGAAATAATCTGGTCTGCGGCATATGTATATGCTCCCTGAATGGGGAAGATATGTTTGTCCGGCAGGTCGCTCGCTCGATCATTCGGTGAGGTCGCTACCGGCGGCTGACGAATGAGTTGCAAGCCGGCCGCGCCATTGTGCGCGGTTCGCGCGTGAGTGCCACTTGCGATCTTCCCGCTACCATTTTATCGTTCGGGAGCGCGCTGGCATAGCGAGGACCAGAATCGACGGAGCTTATCGGACGTTGACAGCCATTGGTGAGCACCCCAAGGGGAGCAGATGTTAAAGAGCTCTCCTTTACTCTGCCGAGCGCCATCTAGTACCTGGCATCGTCTCATCGGTCGTCCGAGCTTGTTTCGATCTTGCCGATCATCCCAAAAGTATAGGGGGCGAGCAAGTGCACTTGGCAGTCCCTAGTTACTAAGACGATAAACCAACTACCTAGGCACATGCGTTCGCTTCCATCTTCCGTTTAGCCTGCGAGATGATACGCCATCGGCTCGTCTCAATTCCTCCGGGCTCGTTCGAGTGCGCATCCAGTCCCCGGCTCATTAGATATAGGAGGTGTCACGCGTACCGGAGTGGGGTTCGAGCCCCGCGTGCCGCATCCCCCTCCCCGCACTATCAATTACGGACACCGCAAACGATGAAGTCTCCTTGCGTGGATATTTGCGAAGCCTCGATTGAGGACCTTGTAAGACCTCTGGCGTAAATCCTCGGCGGAAACTCGTGGGGGCGGAAGGGGTTCTCCCGTTGTTGTTCCTCCGGCTATTAGATCGAGTGTCCGGTGAGGAGCTCTCCGAGACCGGTGGTGTACCTAGTCGTACGCGAGTGCTGCTGAGTGTGCACCGGTAATCAGGGTCGATCCCGAGTAGTCCTAAGCTAATATGGGGCAATATTCATGCGTACAGATGTACGTACCTCTTCGATTCGCTGGGTGTAGATCGAGATCGACAGCTGGCTCTCAAGCAATGAGTGGCCCTGGTTGAAAAGGGCCGTGATTAGCAGACCCAATGAAAACATGTCACTCTGAGGGGAACACGATGCGGTTGCGTGTACTTCGGGCGGCGTGTAGTCGAGATCGGGCTGACCCATTTTGGGAAGTTTCGATGTGAAACCCTGACAGCCGATCGGATTCTGTTTGGAAGGAAAACACCGAGAATTTAGCTTGCGGAGGTGATTTCGTGAAAATCAAATCGGTGAGCTCGATCGGCCTCGTCTCGGAATATAATTTTATATATGTATGTGTATATTCATATTTTTTTGTTTAGCTTTGGGTGGACGACGTTGCTCACCATAAGGTCCGTTTCGTTGCATTTCTCGCTGAATTCCATTCCGGCGAGTTTCCAGGTTCCTTTCTTGTTGACAATCACCGACGACGGACAAACGTTTCGATGGATGATTTTGCAATTGTAATGCAGGAACAGAAGCGCCTCGGTCAGTTGAAGCAGACCATATTTGTGCTCTATATCGAGAAACTCATACTCGCGGGTCTCCTGGGCCACCGTCTGGGGCAGACGGTCTTCGAGGCAGCCGAGGATGTTCGCCAAGCTGCCCATGACCGGCTCGGTCGCGAACGCCAGCGAGTCGCTGCAATTAGATCGATCGGAGCGTTGAAACGACGGGCTTGAGAAAGCTCCTCTATTTTAAGTTGCCAGGGATCGGCATCCCTAGCCAAAGTTCCAGACCCTTCGACGGGGCTTCCTAGCCCATTTTCGCCGAGTCATAAACTCCTTCGCACCAACCGAGTGGCGGACCTCGTCAATGTCATATTTCCGCGTTGTTGCACGGCTTGCTTCGAATAACAGAGAAGATTACTCGGGAGCCGGTTCGGCATTTTTCTGCTTGCCGACATCCCTCGTCGCCGAAGCCGCCGCTATCGGAAGTGTGCACGTGAAGTTTTTGTGACTCTGCTCTCATATCGGAGCATTTTCGCCGTAAGCGAAGACGGGCTTCTGTGTGAACAGCTCTCTTCCGCCATACATAAGCAACTCTGTTTTCGGCAGTATATTGCTTGTCTTGATTGGTCTTGCGCGTCCGGACCTCGAGGGAGCGGACCGAGGGGAACCGGAGGGGAAGGGGACGGCGGGCGTTTGGCGAGATGGAAGTCTTGCGCTATACGTACACCCGAGAGATTGAGGAAGTTGGGTCCGCGAAAGCTGAGAACTCTCAACAGAGGAAACTCATACGCGACCTCGACACATAAATTCCTGGAGGATCTTTGAAGACATTTGGAATCTCTAGCGGCGGCGGGCCGAACAACATTCTGCCACCGCTTATTCTCAGAAGCGTGCCGGACATACGATGCAGCAAACGAGAGAAATAGGTCCGGCACCTACGTTTCAAGTAGGAACGGATGAGCCGGCAAGACTCCCGATAGCCGTGATGGATAGCCGCATCCGCTCAGACCGCCAAAAAGATACGACCGACCGACTGACTGACTGGCTGACTGACCGAATGAGCGGCCAACGGACCGTCTGGGTGACTGAGGAGACAGCGAGAAGAAGAACAACTTCCCCCCTCAAAAAGCGCCGCCAGCGATGCTTTCCAAGCAGGAAAGTTTGTGTGGCACCATGATTCGGCTGAACATTTTTCTCGCCGGGCTGTCCTGGAGTTGTGCTCCCCTAATATTCGACTGATGAGCGCACAGCGGCGTCAGGCTTGGCAACACGGTCTCGTTGGAGCTTGTACGGAGCAATCGGCTCCACCGTCCAAACAGCAAACAAAGCCTTCCTACCCCAGATAGAACATAGGAGCCGAGAAACAATCAGAGGCCGACCCGTTTTTCTTGCTTCACCGCTAGCCGCTCCCCGAGCTACCGGAGCCGGAGTCGGGGGTTAAGTTAAAAAAAAAAAAGGTTGCGATGCCTCGGGCATCGATGGATTTATGGCAACGGAGAGCCGCTGGATGAGTTCTGTGTGATGAAGAGGAAACAATTTGCGACGACGCAAGGACTGGCGGATAGGACTGCAGGAAATCCGCTTCCCGTTGGCCAGGGGGAAGGGGAACGAGAGCGTTGTCCGATTATCGGGGGACAGTCCGAAAGTGCAAACAGTTCGAATTAACAGCTGTCCTCAAAACCTAATACTTCGATCCCGCAATTGACCGGCGCTGGTGCGGCCGGAGAGCGCTGCTTTCGGATCGGAGGGCCGACTCCGATAGCCGCTCTCCTCCCGGCGGACTGGAGCGGTAGAGCCCTTGGCAACGTTTGACAATTCCGACATTTGAAGCCTTGTCTAATGGGGCGTGAAGGAGCTTCGCGTCCTTCGGAGCGGAGACGGCAAACGGTCCTGTCTCCCTCGACATCGGATAACCAGGTCGGGCGTCGGCCGGAGAGAGGCTGTATTCCTTTCTTTTTCTTTTCGCATAAGTTCCGCTGATTCCCTACCGACGGATTGCGGCAATCCGCTGCGAAGCCCAGTGACCACTGTAGCACCTGGGATGGGACTCAACAAAGTTCGGAAGATGCCGCACCGAGAGCCACGGCTCGATTGAATGCGTAAGGAGCGGAGGCTCAAATCTAGCGGGGATGAGTAATTTCCCTAAAGGAAGACATCAGGGAAAGCGAACGGCAAAACATCAAAGGTCTGCGAAACATCAGCCAACCGAGCCGCGTAGCTGATTCACCAAGTGGTCTTCCTGCTATTGAAGATCCAACAGCGTACCGTCGACTCTGCAATGCTCGACTCACCTCGATTCCTCAATAGGATGCAGCACCGACAAGAGTTTTGGATGTTTATAGCGATCCAACTGACGCACTCCGAATCGGAGGATTTCGGTGATGGTTTCCTTGCGTTTTGGCTTATGGAGTTTCTCGGCAACTTTCTTCTCGAAGAAAAAAATCGAGGCATCCTGGAACAAGAAGAAAGCAAAAACCTTGAACAAGCACTCGAGAGATCACTCAGTCAGATCTTGTTATTCCCCGAGCCGCTGTTGTGCAACACGGAGTGCGGAGCGTGGAACCCGAGACCCAGAATAGCACGAATTCGTCAGCAGAATGAACTCCAGCCGTAGCTTTAGCTCTAGATAAACCCAGACGAGCCCAGAGCCCAAACCGGACTGGGATCGTGGAGCGGCAATTCGCGCAATTTCTTTCCAAAGATTCCGTTATTGCGGGGAAGCGGAGGGCTATCGATGGAATCATCTTCTCCTCCCTACTACAGTGAGCTTCCTACCACGCGAAGTTATTCCTTCCGGTGGTGGCGGGCCGAGATGAAGTCTCGCGAGGACTTTAGCGCCGCCTTGAGCCTGTTCCTTACTACCGGAACGTCGAGAGAGGAGGATCCTCTCGGCTATTCACTTCAGGAAGACACGTTCGCTTAACTCAAGCCCTAAAAACAAGGTACGGGCCGCAGCTGGTCTTTGTCATTTGTACACTCGCAGCAGCCGGGACAGTGAGTGGACTTGACTCGCGACACACCGAGGGTTGTGTCTTTTGGGAGTTGAAGCTTGAGATTTGCCGTCCGGCCGGGGCACGGCAAACCTTCCCGGGCTGACCCCTTTCGGGCTCCGAGCGTTTTTCTCTCCATGGTCATACAAAAGACCATCTGACCTTTTGGAGTCCGAGCGAGAGGAGTCTCGAGAATACCACAGCAGCCGTGGGGAGCATGAAAGGCATTCCTATCGCTTACCTACCCTAGAACGTTCTAGAAACCTCAACCTGTTCTCAGCCTCCCTCCGTCCCTCGTAGATTCTTCTTCCAGCGACTGCGATGAATGAAGATCTCCGTGTTGAACGTGAGCCATTCTTCCCGATGACGCTCCCCGCACTCCATATCGCGAACATGTGAACCTATTGCGGCCGCTGTAACTGTCATATCAACCGGCAGGGCTTTTACAACGTCGCAGCAGCCAGACTGTCAATTGTTCCTTGGAGGCGTCGGGATTCATGGAGGCATAGAGTTTTTGTGCCTGTGTGCGGGGCCCGCACTGTGGGCTGGATTTGGAGGTCTTAGATGCAAGAGCAGCAGGAGCAACGGAGTCGGCGGCGGCGACGGCAAAGCCTCTTTGCAGGTGGTCCCTCCGATAACAACGTTGTCTCTTCTGTTGCTCTCCACGCCATTATCTGCTTAGTGGCGTCCTCGAGGGAAGCAGACCAATGGCACGGAAGGGACTAACGTATATTAAGGGACAGTGAAACCTTGCCTTGACGTAGCCGGTTTGTCTTGCCTCGCCTTGTCTTGCATCGGCTGCCGAAGTGTACCTCCGTTTCCGCTCACTCACCAAACCGGCTCGCTCGGTTTACGCCTTCGAGCGGACTTGGTATTCACTCGGCTCCGGCTGACCTCGTTAGTACTTCACCTGCGACCCCCCACCTTCTCCGACCGTCACGCGCGCCTGTTCCTCGCTTCGATTTCCGGCTGGAGATCAAGGTGTACCCAGCTCGACGCTCGACGTGTTTCGATAAGTTTTCGTGTCAGCTCCTAAAAATTATCACCATTCCAAAGCTCTCGATCCCGGAGGAGCCTGCAGATGTGCGTGCCTCTGAGCGTGTCACAGTATCTAGCACTCCGGAGAGAGCTGACTGCAACACGATAAGAGACAGAGCACGACCTTCCCCGCTTTTTATTTCCTGCTCCAGGCACGGAGAAACACCGGGACAATGGTCGTCACATGGCCAGGGGGCGGATGAAGGAGCGGAGGTCTCGAGCGGAGCGGTTTCGCCGAGAATTTTCAAAATGTACAGATCCTGTCGACTGCAAACCATAAAAGGAGAAGAGGGTCAAAAGCAGAGGAATAAAATCGAGTCAGCCACGTCTCTTCGCTCGGAGATTCTCAGAGAACACTTGCTCAGAGGTTCTCAGGAAGAGCTCGCTCGATAACCGGTGTCTGCAAGGTATGCCTACGCAGCGCAGTGGAAGCAAACCCGGGACGTGGAAAGAGATATGAACCCCTCTAAAAATAAGCCTTGGAACCGCTACGTGGAATGTTAAGTTCTTTCTCTTAGTGCTTCACTATTATTTCTGCTTCCTTCCGGTGCGATTCTGGGCACACAGAATTCGTCTCGGATACGTTCCCGTGTTAATATCCCTCGCGACTCTATTCCCGGCCAGTCGGGAGAGGTTTTCACGGTGAGTGAACGCAAAACTTTTGATCCTGTCCGCGAGAGTCTCTCATCCCGAATGAATTGTTCTTGCCCTTCCTGAGCTCTTCGATGATGGGAAGCACTTCTCAACGACTCCCACTAGAAGACCGAATATAGAACGAGCGAGCTAACAATGTATTCGCCGGCTTGTTATTCGTGACGAGATTCCGCAAACGGATGAATTAAACGCTCCACGGAAAGGGAACTCAATTCTCTCAGGGGCCCGCCCTCACAGAATTCCCGAGCTCAGAAATAAATACGGAGACTCGGCTTTCACCGATAACTAAGAAACCTCGGCCGCTTCAATTCGATATCGACAGACTCTTCTGAGGAACGAGCCGTGCTGCCCGAACTTGAGCTCGCAGGCTTATGCAGAGTCGCCTTCAAGAGTTCTCTGCCGTATGTCGGAGATGTTTAAGCGTCCTCGGAGAATATTCGTGCAATTTTCATGAAGTTTCAAATTTAAAGCGGGTATTCAGAAGCCTCCTATAAATATCCTAGCTGATCCCTGCCCGACGAGAGGAAGTCGAGACATGGAGCCGCTTCACACGTGGAAGCTCCCGTCGAATCGAAAATCCTCCTCCTTTCAGTCGGATTTGAATGTCTGCAGGAAGTCCCATTCAAGGTCACGCAAACCCTCAATTCCCTAAGCGATCCCTCAATTTCGCTACGAGTAAAATTCAAGTCTCGAACATCCGTCGTGCTCAAGCCACCACGGAAACGGGGTTATTCGATCGACGATTCATCTTCCGAGTAGATTTTCGGTTCAATAAGTTTCGCCGATTGTAACATTCGGGCGGTCTTCATCAAGGAAAATCGCGACTGCCTACCTAATTCAGGATTCGGAACGTTCAATCGACGATTCAACGAACATTCGGATCTACGCAAACCTCTGCAGGCGTTCAGCTCTGTTTTCCGCCGGGATGTTTCCGAATTCTTATGACCTCTCCTGTCGGATTCACCCTGTCGACTTTCGGTTCTGACTCTGTGCGGAAAACCTCCCACACTGAGCTCGTGGTCGGCGAGGATTCCCGTGCAGAACGATCAATTCGAATATTGGAAAGTCACCGCGCGACTCGCGGTTCTTTGTATATAGACTGTGCGCGAGTAACCGGGGCCCTCGAACAACGTTGCATCGTTAGCCAAAGGAGGTTGCGCAGCGAGCGGGTCTGCATATGTCGGCGGACGCGGTGGGTAAACCTCGCGGCGGCCCTCGTTCAGTCGGCACGCTCCGGCCAAGCGGCTGTTTCTGCTCACCCGTTAAGACTCGGCGACGAACGGAGCGTTCGCGGCTCCTGGGTCTCATTCGCAATTTCACGCTAAATCGTCACCCTTTCCTACGCTGTTTTTCCAGCCCGAGCTCGAGGACCGAGTTTTCCCGTCACTTTTCTCTACGGCTTTCCGTGCACATCCATGGTAGACGCAACGAGTCCATCCGGCTATCGCAGTGATTGTCGATACCCCGACCGGTCCCAGATGTCCGCCTCGACATACCCCTCAAAGCATGATCTCTCGTTGAATCACGGGACACCCTCGGGAGGATCGTCAAAGGAACAGCTCTGCGGGAAAGCAGCCTGAACGGAATATTGAGAGCCTCCTCGAACAACAAAGTCGCAGCGGGCAAGAGGACGAAGGAGAAGACGGGAGGGAGGATACGTGGGTGGCTAGCTGTCGTCATTAAAACTAACATCTGACCGCTTTGTGGAGCCAATTACATCGACGGGAACAAGAGTCACTCAAGTTTGGTCTGAGCCACTCCATGCTAACTCTTTGGAAGTTCTCGTCCCGCCTCCTCTCTTGACCCTCGTCGACCCAGTCCCAGCGGTCGTTCGTTCTCGAGCGTTGTTCCCGGGGCAGACGAGTTTTCCTGACACGGATGCTCGAAAGGGAACTCCTAATTGTGGATCGAGAGAATTCCATAAATTAATCCTCAAGAAACTAGCAACTCGATTTCACGGGGGACGGAGCTTCAGCTCCATCGTATCGTCGGTTTTCACAGGAAGGAGAAAATCGAAAATCCCGATCTCCCGCCATTCTATTCCAGTCTACTCGTTCGTCGACAAACTCATCCGAAAGTGCCTATCCGAGTGGAGTTCCGTCGCAGCATCGAGGAGAGCATACGACAGTTTTTTGTCGGACAAGTGTTGTCGCCAGAGGTGACCTCGGCGCCGCTATCAAGCGCCAGGTGTAGTCCTCTCTCCTTTGAGCAGCTTGGAGCCCATGTACTCCCCAGCTTTATCGTTTTCCTGCAGTAAGGGCAGCAACAGTCGCAGCCATTGTGAAGGAGCTCTTTGTTCGTCTCGCACCTTAGATCAGGCAGGATACAGCAAACTTTCTCTCTCTCCTCACTCCGCTCGCAATATTCTTGAGTTGTAACACCTGCTCACTTCATCCGAAAACCCCCTGTTCATTGGCCGGCCGTCCGGCCGCCCACCCACGATCTACGCACTCACTCTCGTACGGGGCCATGAAACGATAAAAAGCCCGAAACTAGAATCCCCGTCTTCGTCGAATCCCACGCGGAGCCCTTTGCTGCTGTCGGTGAGGTTGAATCAGGAGTCGAATGCCAGGAAACGGGAAGGAGAATCATGACGTTCAACGAGAGGTCCTGACTGAACAACACGACTGGAGGCGTCGGGGGAAACTCTGCGGGGAGTCTGAGGCTCCCGTGAATCTGGAAACAGCACAACAGTGACGGTAGGGAAGTTCGGCCAGAAGGGCTCGAGCTAGTTGAGGGAAGACCGACAGGAAAGGCTTCCAATTAACCCTCAATTTCCGCTTTCGTCCAGGAGCACCGCGAGATGCAAGGCTGCTGCGATGGGAGAAAACACGACGCCCTCGCTGGAAGAAATCGTGCCCGTAGCCTCGCTGCCCCGAAAGCTGTGATGAAGCGGGAGAGCCAACAGAATCTGCGTTGTCCTGCTGAGTCGTGACTCCCATGCCGATCGAGTTCCTGTGCAGGTGCAAACAGGACCTCCACCACACTTCGGTGAAGCCTCAATCGCCTTCTCCACGTTTCACTCCTTGCGCGTCCCCCCTTCCCTTTTTTGGCGAATCCCCTTCCGTTTGCGCCCTCTCACAAGGACCAGAAGCGAAATCACAGGGACGAGCAGCAGACCGGAAAGGGTGCGACAAAGAAATGAGTGATCCTTACAAAAGCTTCTTGACACGGAATTCCTCCGAAAAACTCCAGCTAGGAGACTCTCTGATAATTTTCGGACGCATCAGCAATCCTCCTCATGAGGTTATCGTTCGCCTTGCCAGCGTTCCAATGAGCAGAGCAATGCCCAGTTTGCTTGCATGAAATAATGTTGGGAGGATCAAATTTCTGCTCTCGCTGTGGAATCGAGGGTCGCAACATATGAATGCCCCTCTCCGCGAAAAAGCGAAAAAAAGAGAATTTAGCGATTTTTCAGCTCAGGAGCGTTCCAGTACGAGTACTTGGCGCTCTTAAGATCTAGTCGCTGATATTCTCTCAAGGTAGGTTCTGAAAGACTCGAGAGTATCCAACCGACTTTGTCGCGATGATTCAAGAGCTCAATCATATGTAGAGCTTTTCAATCCGACTTCACTCACTACCCCTTTCTCCGATTCTCCACGTTCCCCTTCCTCACATGATCTCAGCAAGACCGAGCCTTGGAGAGTCCTCTCTGCTCGCGCACCTGTCTGCGATTCCGGAACATGCGAGAGCATCCGTCTCTCCGACACATGGAGGAATGAAGCTTGATTCCGGTCTCGAGTTTGAGTATGGGAGCAAGTCACGCGATGACTTTCTTATCACGGAGTGATCGCGGGTGAGAGCCGAGGCAAGTTGCGGCTTCGAAACGATTCCCCGCCCAGTCAGTTATGGAGGGAAAACGACTCTTCGGTCGCACTAAGCACATCTCGCATGGATCCGCTCCCTCTCTGTTGTTCAGTGGAGAATTTCATCAGGCTGATGCAGCACAACTCGTCTGCCGTTTCCGTTATGGGAAGAGATTCGAGCATCGCACCGCTAGCTGAAAGCGATGCACTCACTCGGTCATCATCACGCACTTAATTGCGTGATGATGCTGCTTCCCTGACACGGTGGGAGTAATACGTGGATTTTTGCGAGCTGTGGGAAACGGGAGAAACAGGAGAAACACGGGATCCGGCCGTGGATATCCAGGAAACGATATATGCGCATCGCGTTTGAGATCGAGGGTGTTTTTTTCACGCCATTCTCAGACCTGTCCGAATCCCCCGTAACTCATCTCAGAGCACACATGTTTTATTTTCATTTTTTCACGGAGTCAGAATCTCCCGATAAAGCGCCGTCGTCGGCTCTCGACAGTGCAGACTCTATTCCGTGGCGCGATTTCCCCAGTTCACCCCATACCGGATTTATTCTCGCCGATGTAAGGTCGGGGAGGTAGAAAATAGAACACGCTAATCCCCGGCATCAATTATCTCAACGCAAAAACTCCGAGTTTCGTCTTGTCTCCCTCTGATCTCCTCCCGTCCTTGCTCTGCTCAAATGTCAACGTCGTGTCGGATCTCATCATGAAGAGTTCGCTTCCCCACTTCGAAAATTTCCTCACTTAGAGGAAGCACGAATTCCCAGACGGTATGAGGGAGAACTTCATTTTCGAGCTAAGGATCCAACACTCTACTAGGAAATCGCTCGCGGTGGAGCAAGGCTCAAAATCCTCCCGAGGTTGTCCTTGAGTTCCGGAGCTCTCACGATAGAGGGAAAAAAGGAGACCGTCCTTCCGCCCGATCACGAGAAGCCCTTGTAATCGAAGGACGTTTAACCCACGAAATCCAGGGTCCGGCGAGAAATTTCATTTGTAAAGTAAATAAATAGAATCACATAATAACGAACAAAGCAAGCTTACAACGGCGGCAGCGAGTTCCGCGAAAGTTTTGAAAGCAGGGAACCAACGACCCTCACGAAAATAGGACGCGAAACAAAACAGTCGGAACTCGTTCAAGAGTTCCGTTTCCCGCGGACATCCACCCTTTCGCCACGTTCTTGGGTATTCGCCAGGAATGAGCCAGACAGGAATCTGAGTGGCAGAGCCGAAAGCCCGAGCCCGGGAGCCCAGGAGTTTTCCGGAAAGAATCGTGAAATCAAAATCAGAACCGAGCTCAAGCTCTCACTTCAAATACGAGAGAACTCATAGATCTCACTGATTCGCCACTCAAAGGAATAAGACTAAAATTCATATTTTCAGAGCTCCGAGGGGAAGGTCTGCCTACATCGCATAGAATTCTCAAATGGGGGCTCACACAAGGATTTCAGCCCGACCCCGTACTCTGAAGGATTTCCTGCGAGTCCATGGCATTAGATTAAGCCCAACGTACGGGGAGCTTAAAGTGTGACCGCGGCCGCTGGCAGCGCTATCCACAAGCAGCACCTCCGGCTTCCGCTGTCGTTGTCCAATAATGTTGCATTCCAACGGGTATTAGCGCTCTAGCGTTGGACCCAGAGTCCCTCAATCCCCTCGCCGCCGCCGCCGCCAGGCAGCCAGCGACCATCCATTCCTGCATCCGAGCCGCTGTTGCTGTTGCCACCGAGAACCCCGTCGAACGGCTCCAGCCGTCCCGTCCGTGGCTTTCTCCAGCAACATGGTGTGTCCACAAACAAGCTCCGACCTCAACAAGTTGTCCAGACGGAAGGTCTCTTCGCTTCCGTCTGTTGCTACTTGTCGCTTGTTGTTGTTGTTGCAGCGTCGTCCGCTCATCGGCGGTGATGGAACCCGTCGGCACAAGGAGACTAATTCAGCTTATTACACCCGGATGGATGACATTCAAGTCGAGTTGGACATGCCAGCTGATATTAGCTCCGACATTCGCAGGGTCGGGGGACCAGCGGGCGGACAGGCAGGCCAGACCAGTTCATTCACAGAAGCTTCCACGCGCTCATCCTCACCGTGTCTCGACTACTCGCCTTTTGTTCCTAGTACTCCGAGATAGTGAGCCGATGCTCGGGACGTTGTCATCGCGATCCTAACATAGCGTTACGAGAAGATTTTCCCGACCCCGACATCTTATTGCGGAGCTGCGGCTATCCTAGCGCGCGGCTGTGGCCTAATTAGCTCCGACCACCGTTCGGCTGACCGATCGGCCACCGCCCGGTCGGAGTCGCTCCGGAGCTACTTCGCACTCGTGTGGAGCTCGTATCCGCGATACTCTGCCACTGAGCACACCCATTGAGTGTTATCGGCGATGAATCGAGCACATATCGTGAGCCCTCCTCGGATTTTTTCCCGAGAAAGCCAATCCCTAATTATCGGTGGGGCTGGCAGGTCCCGAAGACCGAGGACGAGTCTGACCTGCACCGCATGGGACATGAATAGCCCCGCATATTGACGCGTATAATAGAGAAGGTTTCACGTTTCACACTTGCGCGACACAATGGATGCTTGTATCGGGCTGGTAGCGTCGAAGTTCCTCCACGAGATCCGGCTCGAGCGACAAGAAGCCGATGCGATTCATCCCCGTTCCCCGTGGGGGGACAGACCCCCCCCCCATGTCACTACGGTGGGAATTTTGTCTCTCGGGATGACCGGGAAAACTTCGAAATTCTCCCGAATGGGAGTAGACACGCTACACGGGAATGGAACACGAATTTTTCCTGGAATAGCTACCAGGTCAGAGAGAGGAAAAAAATGAGCCAGAAGCGAATAATTCGTCTTACGGACGGAAAACCGCACCCTTGGTATGAAATCTATGAATGCCTCACCTTGTTGTCGGATTTTCGTTTGGCGTCGTAGATCTTCCATACAAACTCTGGGCCTGCAGAGCCGACTAGGCGGCCGATCTCGAATTGCTGACTGATAGGATTCTGTTCTATGGGGGAAGGAGGACCTTGTTTGAACTTTGGAAGTCCTCCGCCGCCGCCCGGATTCACCAGCTCAGCGATCATCGAGCGCCGCCGACCCTTGGGGCTCGGGTTGGGAGACAAACCGCATGTCGACGATCGCCTTCCCCCGGGGGCCTCGTCTGGCCCCCCGACTTGCAACACATTCGGAGAGTTCCCGGGAGCGAGCGTGGCACGGGGAAGTATACTGCTCGTTATGTTTTATCCCAATCCGGGACTGGGCAGGTGGTGCGCGGGACGCCGCACCACTTCGCGTCTACGACCTTCGGCAGAGAGGAGCGCTTCCGCTTCTGCAGCCGCCGTCGGCTTGCCGGGAGAAGGCCGTGTCAGAATCGACGGAAGAATCTTCTGCAGTGACTGTTGGCGGACGACAGAACGGCGAGGGGGAACGCTCCGTAGTACGCTTGCTCGAGCCACTCCTCAGCATAACCTGCGGAGAGAAACGAAAGGAAATTTAGTGGGAGCTCGATTTGTTTTCCTGTCGTAGGCAATCGCGTCTCGAGGAGCGCTGAAACAAGAAGATCATCTCGCGATAAGATCGCGAATCCTGGCCACGTGTACCTTACTCCCGGAGACGATGCTCGTCCCGAGTTAAATATTGATAGCCTGTTTCCGACCTACATGCGGCAGCAGCATCAATCGCGAGCTCCACTTGAATAGAAACAAGTCTCTCAGCTTGATTAATGAAATCTTGATTAGTGAGAGTGGCAAGCGGGAACGAGGTTTACAAATTCGTTCCGGAGAGACTTGCCGAGCACGTCGTCAGCAGCTTTCCTCGTCGAATCATCATCGGCCCACAAGAACATGTATCGAGCATCTCCCCGAACCGAAGAGTATTGGATATACTCAGGCATACGCGTCGCAAGTATTTTCCTCCTGGTGACGGACCCCGGGTCTCCCAAGGAAACCTATGCCTCGGAACTCTGCGGCTTGAAGCTCGGCTGAGGATAGGAAATGGGTACCAACCACACGGAAGAGAACATTGTTGCCGGCGCGGACCGCGCGCGCTTGTTCAAGGTCAACGGAGCTCCTCGGTACTCCCACCATCATTGTCATTCTCTTTATGGAGTCTCGTTTTGTATTGAATGAGGTGCATTGAGAATACGGCGAGTGAGGTAGCGCTCTGTTTACCCGCAGGTGAACGCAGTTAGGCCGAACAGCACGGTCGTACGCTCCGTGTTCGTCGGGCCTGCCTGCTGCAAAATGTCTGTTTGTGGAGTCCATTTCCAAAGGACCACGGTTTTTATGTACCGCTGCGGAACGCGAACACGCGTACTATTACGGTTTTCCATTGTGCGAGCCGCTCGGTCCGTCTCACAGCTTCCTCTCCGTAGCGCTGCTCTTGCCTCGCTCCTCGGCAGCGACAAGCACGCCGGAGGAAAACGCTTACCCTCTCCTAGATTGAGTAGTTCGCGCATTGTCATCGAGAGCGCAGCGTGGATCAGTGCTGGAGAGATACTTGAATCATTCCGCTCCTCCTCTCATAGCCCCATAGTCCTTCTTCTCTCCAGGGAAGAAGTATCCGTCAAAACTCCCTCGGCGGCCTCCTCTATCGGATCGAAAACCCACAAAACCCGCAGAGCCCAGATCTCTCGTTCGTTCGTTCGTCAGTCAGTCAGTCAGTCTGCCCGTCTGTCGGTTCGCTGCACTTTCCGAGTGATCAGGATCTGCAGTCCGGAAGCCAGAGCTACGCGGCAGAAGCCTCTCCATCAGCAATGACCATCTTTCATGTGGGATGATCGAGAATAGGAGGGGGAAGAACCTGTGTCATACCGCGGCCGACGACACAGCAGCGCCAGCGTCCGCAGCGAGAACAAGAAGTAGACGGAAAAGAAGCCGCCGTTGCCAGATAAGGGGAATTTCTCTCTTCATTCCCTCCGTTCCCTGCGACGTATCTCCCCCCTCCCCCTCCTCCCCGGGCGCTGGCTTCACGTGGGGTTTATTCCCCCCAGGTCCCGCGCTCGCCTGCATACAAAGCTAGCCACTTTTTCACCTATATGCTCATATACATATTTATATGTTTTGCGTAGAAGTTGCTTTCGTCGAGGAGTTCCCTCCGCGTTGGATAAGATATTCATGTCTGACAAACTCCGTCGAACACGCGAACGGCAATCCTGCCGCCGCCACGCTCAGGGTTTGTTATTCTTCGGAGTCCGACGTTCCTCGAAAGCTCTGCTTGAGTCGATACTCATTGTTGCGACGGTGGTGTTTATTTTACGCAACACATAAACAAACCCCACGGATCTCGTGCGTATAATCGTTGCGCTCCGAGAGGTCCACGACGCTCGGTGTCATTCGACAAAGACTCCATCGATAACCGGGAGCAACCAATCAGGTTTCCGCGGACCGTTCAATGACGAGACCGACGAATGGCTACCGGGGAATAGGAAGAGATTTCATCAGTCCTTCCATGATGTTAGAGACCTCACGATGCGGTGGGGAAACTCGACCGATTCGACGACATCTGAGGAAGCAATCGAAGCGGATGTGCACCCTGCGGCTGTGCTGGCCTCGTCCTCGCCGAGCTTAGCTCTGATACCGCTGTCGTAGTTGTCCTACTCCTCCCCACGTCGTCGTCTTTGGCCAATAAAGCGATACGCTCCCATACCCGCCATTCAACACCGATGACCAGGTAATTGGAAGGATTCTGATGCTATCGATAACCTATATATCAGTCGCCAAGCATCGTCCAACCTATCTCAACACCCAACGAACCGTCGACGCACTGCACGACCCCATACCAATGAACACAACTCTACGTCCCCGAATAACTCGTTCGAATGGTGCGGCCGAGGCCATTCCACCATTGAGGCTGAATGAAAAATTCACCCACCGACAAAGTGAGTGCGATCGTCTCTCGATGATCTCGATGAGCGAGCGTCCCGTGTTTCTGACCGCCCACGACTCGAATCGGTTACCTTTCTTTCATCGGAAGATCGCTGTCTGTTATTATCGACCGCGAAAGCGTACCTGATTTAAGACGCGGGGGGAATGAGGGATTCTGGTCGATGGAGGAACATGAGTGGGCTCGAAGAAACGGCTTTGTGGGTGGGAGCCGAGACGGGAGCTTATCAAAAATAGATTCCCCCCATGAATAGCCTACTTGTGTGAATGAAAGCCCACGGATCAATACTTCTGCGCGATACGTCGAGCCTGGATATCTATGGAGAATCCGCGATGTGGATGTTATCCTTCGTCTTTGCGATCGGAGCTCGGAATCCGATTCTATTGCCTTTGGGATTTTGATGCCGTGGAGCTTGATATTCAGAGAACGATCCCTCCGCCGATATCTCCCGTTGCGTTGGGGACGTCCACAGAGTCCGATCGAGTCTCCTAAGACCAACGAATCGGGTCCGGAATCACGGGTATGGAAGACTTCTTGTCATAATCCACGACGGACGGCGGAGCGAATGCAATTGAGTTTTTGTCGATTCAGGTCCGAATCGGCGGAAGTTATCGCGCGGGATCCACGGGTTCTGCTGACTGGGAATCGAGCGCGATCGGTTAATTTTTCTAAAGGAACTCAGTCTGGAAAGAGACGGATACCAATCTCGAATCGAATACATGAACGATTCCATTGTAATCTCTCTCCGTTATTTCGATCGCGACGGCTCCCTTCCGGCCCGAGATGACCGGATGGATATCGGATCGTGTCCCTCAAGTCTCGTATATGCATCTCCCGGCAGGGTTTCAGACCCGCAAAATCGAACCGGAGAAGCTGCTCTCCTCGATAAAACATCTCAATTTGGTGAGAATTTACGGTGAAAGTTTTCTCAGGACGCGCCCAGAATCGAGCTCGTTCAGAATTTTCTGATCTTCGTGTTCGGAGAATTCCGACGCAGAAGCAGCCTCTGAATTTAGCTCGGTTTATTTCTGCTCGGTCTGAGCTCTTGGGTGCTCCCGGAATCCTCTCACCTTTCGGGACAGCTCGGCAACAACTACGGGGCTTGTCAATGTCTGAGAGAAAGCGAGCCGATCCGAATGTGGGCTGCATCGTAGTTGATGGGCTGGTTAGACGCTTGTTGACTTTGCGGAAAGAGAGAAAGGAACGGGAAAAAAACTGCTTTGCCCTGAAGGTGGAATAGGCTCTCGTTGCCGGGAGCCAGTCGTCGGGAGAAGCTCCAACGATCTCCGCCGAAGCGAACAAACGAACGAACGGAGCGAGGAGAGACTTCTCATTTATTGCCGCGAAATAGCTGCCAGGAATAGAAGGGTTTTGAGTTTTGCCTTCCACGCCTTGCCTCTATCGAAAATCATCATTCCATTCCCTTTCACTTCCCTTTCATAACAAGAACCAACGCCGCGCCAATGCTGTTGCGGCCGCTCCAAAGCCCGGGGAGATATCGAACCAGCGATTCGAGCAAGGCTGACATGCCGTGCAGTGCGAGCCCAGGAATCCAGAGATGCAAATCGATATCTAAATTTTCAATCCATAATAATAATTCTTAATTCGTGTCAATCTTTGTACTCATATAGTTCGTTCAATTCCTAATTCATCAGTGTCGAGCTCATACCATAATCATCCGCCTCGAGAACGTCAGCGTCGTCCTCCGCGAGGCGAATACGCTTCATTCTCCGCGGAGTTCTTCCTCGGTGAGCATCCGTGGCGGAAAACACGCACACCCCCGACTAGTGCAGTGGGCGATGATTTTTCCTTTTCGGCGATATTCCCGGGTCGGCACATAGGACCGCGGATCGTTCTGTTGTTCCGACGGCTGCCGCGCATAATGCTGACGTACGTCATCGTGAATTCCCGCTCCTGAGAGCGGCTAGAACCGCCGTGAAGCGTCAGGAGCCGAGAGCCGGGAGGGAGCTCGCACCGGCAGCAGCAGCGGGGGGGGGCGAGCCCCGGAGCAGGTCAGGGAAGATTCGCTCGCTGGCTCGCTTTCCTGCGGGCGTCATGACACCTAAACTTCGCGTTAAGCTGGTGCCTTAAGCTGAAGCATAGTTGAAGCCAGACCCTATTTGAGTCTGTTCTCCACAAAGCGGCACCGAGGCTTAGCCAGACCGAGTTGAATGCAATTAGGAAAAGTTATTCTTGCACATACGCGCCCCGATGCACT